ATGTTGGGCCAGGGTGGTCTCGGAACTCCTTGACCTAAGTGTCCACGGCCTGCAGCTGCCAAAGTGCTGGACTACAGGCCTGTGAGTTACCCGCTGGCCCCTATTTTTGATTTTGTAGAGGATTGGGTTGTTCACATGTTGGGCGCCAGGCGGTCTTGGGACTCGTGACTCAAGCAATTCCGTCGCGCCCGCCGTCGGTCCTAAGTGGCTGGGATTACAGGCGTGCCATGCGCCCGGCTTATTTATTTCTTTTTTTTTTTTTTTTTTTGAGATGAGGTCTCGCACTGTGTCACCGGGGCTGGAGTGAGTGGGGCGTCTCAGTCACTGCAAGCTTCGCCTCAGGTTCACGGCCATTCTCCTGCTCACCTTCCGAGTAGCTTGGGACTAAGGGCGCCCGCACACGCGCCGCTAGTTTTTGTATTTTTAGTTAGAGAAGGGGGTTTACCATGTAGCCAGGATGTCTCGGATTCTTCTGACCTTCGTGTCCACCCGCCTCGGCCCTCCAAAGTGCTGGGGATTACAGGGCTTGATCCCTGCGGCCGGGCCTTATTTACTTCTTAGGGTCTTGCTCGGGTTGCGCCCGGACTGCAGGTAGTTGGACATTATCCCCAGGCTGACTGCAGCGGTCAAAACTCCCCAGCCTCTGTTGATCCTACGCCTTCAGCATCCTGAGTAAGGCTGGACTACAAGGTGGGCTCCTGTCCTTGGCCTATTTTCAGGATTTTTTTTTTTTTTTGATTAGAATCTTGCTCGTGTCGCCAGGTTTTGGAGTGCCGGGCAGATCCTCAGTTCCCCCTGGCAAACCTCCGCCTCCCAGATTCAGCATGTCTCCTTGCTCAGCCTCCCAAGTAGTGGATTTAGGTGCAGCCACCACGCGCCCGGTAATTTTTTTATTTTTATACTTTGGTTTTCTTTGTTTTTTTTTGAGACAGGAGGTCGTCGCTTGTCACCCAGGGCTGGGTGCAGGTGGCCGATCTTCGGCTCACTGAAGCTCCGGCTCCAGGTTTACGCCATTTTGCCGTGTCTCAGCCTCCGAGTAGGTGGGATCACAGGCGCGCCCAGCCTCGCCGGGTAGTTTTTTTGTTTTTAGTAGAGACGGGTTCACTGTGTTAGCCAGGTGGTTCTCGATCTCCTGGACCTCGTGTCCGCCCGTCTCGGCCTCCCAAAGTGCTGGATTACGGCTTGAGCCACCGCGCCGGCAACTGTCCTCTGATTAAAAACACAAAATTTCCAGGCAAGGTGGTGTATGCCTGTGGTCGTACTCTGCTGAGAAGGGAGGAATTGCGAATCTGGGAGAAGCAGAGGATTGCATGGAGCCAAGATCATTGCCACTGCGGGCTCCAGGCCTGGGCGACAGAGCGAGGGAACTCTGGCTCAAAAAAAAAAAAAAAGAGACTTTCGTGGTCGGGTGAAGCGGTCCTGTCGGGGGGGTCCGGCTGCTCTGGAGGGACTCTGAGGAAAAGCTCACCACCCAGGTGGAAGCTGTTTATCACAGGTTAAAGAGACCCACCCCCAAAAAAAAAAAAGGGGGGGGGGGGGGGGGTAAAAGCTTCGTACGGCTTCTTTATGTGACCTTGCCAGGAAGAACACAGGAGACACATCGGCTGTTCGTCATTTGGATTTCAGGGATGGTCTGGCAGGAGATTGGTAAGGACAGTCTGCAAAGGAGAAGGTTGAAGTTTGGAAGATATGGCAGAAAAGTGACAAGGCTCGTTGACAGGGGAGATGAAAAATGACGTTCCTCCAAAAGGTAGGAAAGGATAAGAAAGGAAAGAAATAGGATCACAATGCTCCTAAAAGGCCACCATCTGCCTTCTTCCTGTTTTGCTCTGAACATCGCCCAAAGATCAGAAGTGGACACCCAGGCCTATTCGTCGGGGAAACTGCAAAGAAACTGGGTGAAATGTGGTCTGGGCAGTCGGCCAAAGATAAACAACCATGTGAACAGAAAGCAGCTAAGCTAGAGGAGAGATATGAAAAGGGTATTGCTGCATATCGTGCCAAGGGCAAAAGTGAAGCAGGAAAGAAGGGCTCAAAGAAGAAGAACAAACCAGAAGATGAGGAGGAGGAGGAGGAGGAGGAAGATGAAGATGAGGAAGATGAAGATGAGGAGGAAGAGGATGAAGATGAAGAATAAATGGCTA